TTAATCCGGCTGCTGCTACGGTGGAGGACACGAAAAGCGATGAATGAGCGTGTGCGTATGTGCTATGTGCGTGTATACCCTGGATAGTATGTTTGAGTGTTTTGTTGTGTATTTAGCTTGCATTCTTTGCTCACTTCGATGTCAATGGTATTATCTTACCAATAGCATTCACCTCACCCCTGCACTACATTACTACTATATAAATGATGATATATCACCACCCCTTCCAAGGAACCCACGTCTCCCGAACCACCTCCTCCCCATCCACAACATAATACACGAAATGCTGCGCCGCCGTAATACACGCATGCTGACAATGCAACATGACCTTCTGTCCCACATGAAACACATCATCCACTTTCTTCCCCTCACCCTCTGATTCTCCGTTCAATAATCCCAAAATCCCATGCTCCTGCGACATCCTCACCACCCCCCACTCGGGCTTGTCGACTAGCCTCCCGAATCCCGGTACCGCGCTCGTCTCCTTGGAGAGCGCCACCGTGCCGGCGTTAATCAGCGCCTCGTTGCGACGCGGATACACGCTGCATACTTCGGCTAGCACGCGGACAGCCAAGTCGGCCGGGGTGATTAGATCTGTGCTGAGTTGTTGGAGGTCGTTGGTTGGGTAATTTCCTATACCAGTATCATTAACATCGCAATATTCTAGAAGGTTTGGACATGTAGGGAGAGGGGGTAGGACATACCAGCGTGAACTTCCACATCAACATCCACGGCACTATTCAGGCTTCTCTCTGCAGTTAGGTATTGTTTAACTTGGCGAACAACATGCGCCGTAGGAGTTGAGCCAATTGAGAGCACAATCTTCCTCTTCTTCTCCCCTTTACCCTCACTATTAATGAGCTTGACAGCCCGCAACACACCTCCAACCTCACTCCCCAAAACCCTCCCCGCCTCTTCCTCGCCTTTTGAGGAATACGAATGCCCCGCGTGACAGTAAAATCCATACAATTCCACCGCACTACTCTCCTCCACGACGTTCACTAATTCTTCAAGCTCGGGCCCAGAGTCGGGGGAATAAACGTCCACGCCTGCGCGACGCGATCCGACGTCTAACTTGATGAAGACCGGCCAGGGACGAACATTCGGGGTAGATTTATTGAATGCCTCGATGACGGGGATGTGTTGGGGTGAGTCGACCATTATGAGGATGTTGAGGTTGGGGTGGGATTGTCGCATGGAGTGCAGGTGAGGGAGGGCGGAGGGGTAGATTGGGAGGCCGTAGAGGGCCTTCATTTTCTCTTTTAGTGATGGAGTAGTATACTGGGGTTAGTGGGGAAGGGATGTACCTCGTTGAGAATACCCTCCTCTGCTAAGGGGAGCACGCCGCGGAGTTCGCTGAGGGTGGAGGCGATGAGGCCGCGGTGGAGGCCGTTGGCGAGCATGAGGCGGGTTATTTCGAGGGTCTATTTTGTTCTTGTTGGTTTGTGATTTTGGGTGGATGTGGTTGGGTAGAGAATGGAAGTGGCTAGTGGGGTACCTTTAATGTCTTTACATGGGGACGAAAGGATAGTCCTAGCTCTTGTACATCTTGTTGTAAGCGGTTGATGTTTTTCTCCAGCACTGGTTTGCTGAGGATCAAAGATGGGGTTGGGAGGTCGCTGGCTGGGCGACCGATGAAGGACGCGTGGGATTGGAGGGAGAAGTCCATTTCAGTGGTACTATCTGTGGTTGAAGATGTGAGAATTGGGTGCAATTGAGTGTATAGGAGCAGCTGTAGGTGGATTGTGCCTGACTCTTATAAAGTTCTGGCTGGGGATGTGGATGGGATGTGGGGCCAACTTATCAGCTGCCGATAGGAAATCCGCATTAACTCCGCTCACTACAGCTGCTACTTGGAAAAGTCAATTGGTAAATAACTAATGAACTTGATCTATACAAAGGTATCTATACAGTCTCGATATAACGCTTAAACTCCCTATAACGCAGTCAGCAATCAGGCAATAGAAGGGTGGAAACAAAGGACTTACCAATCCGTAACCGCCTCTCTCCATACCCTCAACTCATGCTCTCTCGTTGCCGTGAAAAAGTCCACAAACTCCGGATCCAGAATCTCCCTCGCAACACTCCCCTTGTCACTAAACCTCTTCAGGGCCTCCTCCAATGTATTCGGCAGCAACTCCGCCTTGATCTTCTCCGCCTTCTGCACATTCACTGGCGGCACCTTAATATCCAACTTCTTCTCCACGCCCCTCCATCCCGCCGCCAGAATCACACTAAGCGCATAATGCGGGTGCAAATCCGCGCCAGGGATCCGCACCTCGAATCGCGTCGCTCCCGGCTTGCACACCGGCGGCGTGATAATTCTTACCGAGGCCATGCGGTCCTCCAACCCCCAGCTGATATTCACCGGCGCCCAGAAGTTCTCCACCAGCCGCTTGTACGAGTTAATGGTGGGCGCGAATAGCGGCATGATGTCCGGAAGCGCTTCCAGCACGCCTGCGAGGAAGTGTCGGCCCAGGTCGGACAACCCGGCTGCGTCGGACCAGGGGGCATTGGGATCGGGAGTGTCGCGCGCGAAGAGGTTCTTGCCCTCTAGATCGGTGAGGGAGACGTGGATGTGGCCCGAGCTGCCGGGTTGGCCTTGCATGGGCTTGGCCATGAAGCAGGGCGTGATGCCGTGTTCGACGCCGATGGATTTTGCGAGGAGTCTGTTCGTTAGCTTGTCTACACAGAACTAATAGATATGTAGTGGACATACTTGAACAGAGACACCTTGTCGGCCATGTCGCTGACATCGCATACTTTCAATGCCTGATTTGGTTAGCTCAGCGCGGTCCGCGCACTCAATTGAAGCCAACTCACCGCTTCATAGACTCCCGGTCCACCCTCAGTGTGCCATCCCTCAATGCCGCAGTTGAACCGCGCGCTGGTATCGAAGATATCATAGAAATATTTCTTGTATGCCACGGGTCGCGTCGCGCTGTAGGAGAAGCTGCCTGCAGTCAAGGGGCGCAGCGCACCGGGGGCATTCTTATCGAGAAAGGCGGCGATATCGCGGGTTTGGGAGCCATTGGCGCCGTATCCGTCTTCGGAGGGGGTCTGGAAGTTCATGAACTCCAATTCCACTACATACGTCAGCTAAACTTGCACCCATGACATCTTCTCTATCTTGGGGGTGTGACTAACCTCCCGCCATTCCCTTGCAGTTATTCGCCGCCAACTTATCGCAAATCGACCTCAACATGCTCCTCCCATCGGCCGAAACCGGCTTATCGTTCTGCACGAATCTTACCAGGAAGAAAGGAATATCATCTTCCCAGGGTATACGACGGAAGGAGTTCAAATCCGGCACCGCCAGAAAATCCACGTATCCTGAGTCGGCCGGCGCAATGTTCGCCTCCGTGGTGTAGAGCACGTCCTGCATGTCCCACCCGAACACGGCGGAGCTGAAGCCGAATCCCTTTTGCGCAATGCCTAGGAACTTCTCCTTGGCCATGACCTTGCCGCGAAGGATGCCGTCGCAGTCGACGCCGGCGACTTTGACTTTGATGTCATTGGCGAGGAGGTTAGGGAGGTCCTCTGCTGTGATTGTCGTAGCCATTGTGGATGATGTGCAAGTGTAGAATTAAGGTGATGATTGTAAGGGAGCGTAGGACGGGGGCATTTCTTGGAATTGTTGCTACTTAAAGGTGCTCTGGAAGCTGGGTTGGGGAACTAGCGAGGGTCTACGTCGTCGCTGGTCGATCGCCATGATTGCGACGGCATAGCGCGCCGTCGGGTCCGGTGGTCGGTAACGTATTTCTATAGAGTAATTTGAAGCTAACGGAATCAGTTGGTCTCTAATTTGGGACTTGGTATAGACATAGACTACTACCAGTGGTTGGTTGGGACGAGCGGCGGCACGAGGCGGTTCCGATCGGAGCGCGCTGCGGGGACTCTGGGACCGCGCTTATCTTATCGCTGAGGGGAGAGGGGTAATTTACTCCGCGCAGACACAGACTGCTTTTGCTTGGGAAAATAAGTTTAGAAACAGCATTTCCATTCAATTTCGCGGTCAGTTAGCTGCAATGAGTAGTCAGGTATACAGATACCGCGGACAATTACATCCATTGCAACAGAACGCGGTTATGCCAGGCGGTAAACATATACTTGTGGTAGGATTGTAGAATATCATAGCGAACACCTTCCCCAGTAGTCTCACATCCACATCTCCAACATCACCAGTACACTACATAGCAACATGTCGCAATCCCTCCGCATAGCCATCCTCGAATGCGATACTCCCATCGACCCCATCAAAGCCAAGTACGGTCCCTACGGCGACATCTTCGAATCCCACCTCAAGGAGGGTCTCACGCGCATCAACGCAAATGTCTCGCTGCAATTGTCCAAGATCAATGTGGTCCAACCGTTTGCGGAGTATCCTAAGCCAGAGGACTTTGATGCCGTCCTCTTAACTGGCAGCAGTATGTGCTTCCCAACCCATCATCAGCCATGATCATCGCTAAAATAGTCAATTGCAGAGCACGATTCCTACAAAGATGAATCCTGGATCCTCACCCTCACCAGATTCGTTCAAGACTGCTACCACATCTACCAAAAACCCGTGATTGGAATTTGTTTCGGCCACCAGATTATTGCGCGTGCGTTGGGAGCCCGCGTCGGTCCGAATGTATCGGGGTGGGAGGTGGCGGTGGAATCTGTCGAATTGACTAGTGCTGGGAAGCGACTCCTAGGAAGAGATACTTTGGTACACTTTTTCCATGAAGATATAAGTTGCGCTTGTGGAGAGACGGTTGAAGCTGACTGCTACTTTCACTGATGCAGGCCATACATATGATGCACCGCGATATTGTCTACGAAGTTCCGCCGGAATGCGTCAATCTGGGTGCCACATTGATTTGTGGTATTCAAGGGCTATATGTTCCCAAGCGCATTCTTTGTGTTCAGGGTCATCCGGAGTATAATGAGTTTATGGTGTCGGAGTTGTTGAAGCTAAGGCGGGGGATGCTGGGAGAGGTGGTGTATGAGGATGGGATGGCGCGGGTTGGGAGAGAGCATGACGGGCTGGTATTCTGTGAGACAATGTGTCGCTTCGCTTTGGGGATATTAGAATAATCGAAACAACTCGAGAACAATTATTATTGTGTTGATTGATTGTGGAAGCTGTGATGGTCTCCCACCCACGAGAATTGGAGAAGGCCCACCGCGGGACCGCGCTCCACCAGACCGCGCCACTTGGTCGCCGAGATACGCACAGCTCTCTCTTTCTTATCGTCGATTATAAGAAGTACCCCTCATTAATTATCTACAATCCCTCACTCCTACCCCATACACACACCACTCCCATCCAAACCCCCTGCATCATGTCGAACGCAATTCGCACTCTCTCCCCCTCCACCAACAAGGTCATCTTCGAGCACCCCGGCCTGTCGCTCGAAGAGGCCCGTCAGATCGCCCAAGCCTCGCAAGATGCCTTCCGCACATACAAACAGACCACACTGGCTCAGCGCAAGGAAATCGTCCTCAAGGCTTTGGACTTGATCGCTGCCAACAAAGACACTCTTGCAGAGGAATTGACCACCCAGATGGGCCGTCCCATCGCTTTTAGCGCCAAAGAAATCGAGACATTTCGCAAGCGCGGAGACCACATCCTCAGCATCGCAGAGGAAAGCCTCAAGTCTCTCCCTGGCACGCCCGAAAACGGCTTCAGGCGTTTCCTGAAGAAGGAGCCGGTCGGACCGACTCTGATCATCACCGCATGGAACGTAAGCTTCTACCCTCCCCTCATAGCTATACTCAACATCACTAACGACATCAGTTCCCCTACCTCGTCACTATTAATGCCCTCGTCCCCGCCCTCCTCGCCGGAAACACCGTCCTCCTCCGCCCATCTCCTCAGACGCCTATCTTCGGCGAACGTCTCCTCACCTACTTCACCCAAGCCGGTCTCCCTCCCAACGTCCTCCAGCTCGTCCACGTCGGCTCCCCCGACGTGCTCGACCAGATCGTCCAACTGCCCCAGATCCAGCTCATCTCATTTACCGGCTCTACAGCGGGCGGATTCCGCATCCGCGAAGCAGTCGCGCGCAGAATTGTCCCTGTCAACCTTGAACTCGGCGGAAATGATCCCGCTTATGTCCGTCCCGACGCGGACATCCCCTACGTGGCTGCACAGCTTGTCGACGGCGCAGTCTTTAACTCGGGCCAGAGCTGCTGCGCTGTGGAGAGAGTGTACGTGCACGCAGACGTACATGATAAGTTTGTGGAGGAGGTGCAGAAGGAGCTGGCTACGTGAGTGTCATAACATTCTCTTAAACAAATAGATGTGATCCTAACGCGACGGAATGAAGATACAAGCTCGGCTCTCCCCACGACAAGTCCACCACCACCGGCCCGGTGATCTCCCAAGCAGCCCTCAAGAACATCCAATCGCACATCGACGATGCCCTGTCCAAGGGAGCCGTCAACGCCACGCCCAAGAACCCCACGTTCGAGAACACCCCCGCGGAGGGCAACTACCAGGTTCCTACTGTCCTGACTAACGTGACTCACGATATGGTGGTGATGAGGGAGGAGACATTCGGTCCTGTCATGCCGATTATGAAGGTTTCTTCGGACGAGGAGGCGGTCGCTCTGATGAATGACAGTGACTTCGGTCTTACGGCTAGTGTCTGGACCAAGGATATCGCCAAGGGAGAGGACCTGATTGAGCAGTTGGATGCGGGAACGGTGTACATTAACCGTTGCGATTACCCGAGTCCGGTATGTTTTTCTCTCTTCCCTACTGAAGTGGAAGTTTTTGAAGGTATGCTAATATTTTGCTAGGACCTCGCATGGATCGGATGGAAGAATTCAGGTCTGGGATGTACATTGGGACCTGAGGGATTCAATGCATTCTACAAGTTGAAGAGTTTCCATATCAAGGAGCAGCAGGCATAGATGATAGTTTACTTGTATTGCTTAATTGATGTTGAATGACGACCACAATACTTCTCAAGATTCCTATGAACTCTTCGTAATGTCTAACAGTTCCATTAAACATTACAGACGTACACACCATTAACCGACTCCCCTATCTATTATCCAACTAGTACCTATATGATGGAATATTAGCTGTACCATGCCACATGACCAAGAACCACGCACCGGAACCAAAC